TAACCTGACTATTGGTTGTGTCATTGTTTTAAATTAAATGCAAATACGATGAATAACCATGTGTACGGTCACCTTTCATTGCTAGCATTCTGGAGCTGAGGCGGGGTGGATCTCTCCAGGTCCAGGAGTTCGAAACCAGCCTGAGCAAGCGCGAGACCGTCTCTATTATAAATAGAAAGAAATTAATTGGGCCAACTAATCTGGTATGAGCAACTAATCAATGAATCCAGTATTTCTAATAGAAAAAAAGTGAGAACAGTAGTGCAAATGGTTGCGCGTCCTTATTGCCTGATTAGTAAAGTCGCACAAGCACTCTCTGTTGGCGAGCTGACTTAAATTAATATGAACTGTGTAGCATGTGGCGATATCAGGGTTGCGACGCCTAAAGGATGTTGAGGTTGTCTTGCGTCAGAGCTTATTAGGCTGATACTGGACTTAAGCTAGCCTGAGTGCGATCAAGTCGAGACGTACTGTATGCTCTCTATGAATATGTATAGCTAACATTGCGGATGATGGAGTATATTTTCTTTTTGCCTAGAGTGATTGCCATAATCTACTATGATGTGCGATGCATTTAACAAGTGTTTATATTAATTGTCATGAAATCTGTAAGAGTTCCTTTAATGTGGAATTTGAATCTTGATGGGTATGTAAACTTTCATCTGGGGATATTGGTTTTAAATATCCTTCTGTCCACATATCAACTTTTCACTCATGGACTTAAATATGTTACTTTCCTTATCACTATATTGTTCCCTCTGGCTACCATAATTGAGAAGTCTGCTTTATTGATAGCAAAGCGAAATTGTCTATTTCTTCACTAGGATATAAGCCTATTCTGTTTGAAGACTTCATCCATGATTATAGGTATGAATATTGATATATAATATGCCTAGCTATTTTGTCACTGTCCTAATTTGTTCAATTTCCTCTATATTGAGTTGGTACATATTATTGGTGTTTGTGGGCCACATTTTTTTTCGTTATTCCAAGTTATCTTGTTATATAATATATATGTGTTTTGTAATCTCGGGTAAATGGTGTGATTGTAACTGTGCTGTGGAGTACGCAACGCGCTGTAGTAATACAACTCCTAACTTAATTGCTGTGCTATGCAACGACGAACGTGTGACATGTAGTCAATGGTCTGTGTTGATGTTCCGTTCTTCATTGTGGCGAACTGGAGTGACTAGTCACTGACAGAAGTGATGCGATGCTCACTGATCAGTGATACATATCTGTTACTTATATAGTGATTTGTGGACTGAGAAGTTAGCAGCAAAAGTTTATACTTTACCAGAAACTCATAGTTAATAATATGCTGTGAATAGTAATTGGAATTTGAACTGTGTTCTGGGAGATAGTGTTATTTAACAAAGTCGATGGTGTCGAAATCGTGCATATCAGAACTGCAATGTCGAGGACTGCCTTATTGTTAGACACTGTTTAACATGACCTATATATGGACACTTATCATCTGGCTTTGCTTCTCTTTTTTTTTTTTTGAGACAGAGTCTCGCTTTGTTGGCTGTGGCGTGATGCTCACAGCAAGCCCAAAGCTCCTTGCTCAACAGCTCGGCTGCCTGTCTCCAGAGACGGCTTCTCAGCATGTGTAGTTGGCGTGTTAGTGACAATATCGTATTTGGTACGAGGCATAGTGCGCCGCGCTACCAGGCCTGGTCGTTAATTATTTCTGGTCTAATTGTAGTTAGTAATGTTGTAGTGTGTCACTGGTAACTTTTTCTTGTTTTGGTCTTTCCCTAGCCGCCCTAGTTTTTAGTAGAGACAGGCGTCTTGCTCGCGCTTGCGTACAGGGCTGGATCTTGAACCGCCCGCTCTTGACCTCGGCCCAATCCGGCGCCTGCCTTGGCCTCCAGAGAGCTGGATGTACTCCAGGCTTCCCGTGAGGGCCTCGCGCGCTGGCCCTTGCATTTCCTTTTTAAGTTATCTCAAGTCAACTTCTTCCGTTGGAACTATGCCTTGCCCATGTGGTTTCCTCTTAGTCTCTGAATTTCCCTGTGGGTTTTCCGCCAGCGCCTTGCTCAGGCTGGTTTCAAACTCCTGACCTTGAGCAATCCGCCCGCCTGGGCCTCCCAGAGTGCTAGGGTTACAGGCGTGAGCCCCTGCGCCCAGCCTCTAGTTTAAATATTAAAGCAATAATAATTTAGATGTTTTACTACAAAAACTAAGCATTAACTGGGAAATAAAGATACATATAAAACAGCCATATCAATGAACAGGATAGACAAGAAACTAGAAAAGGTTATTGTTAAATGTTTGCTTTCCTTTTATTTCATACATTTAATAGGTCACCAAATCCTACTGATTTTACATCCAAAGTTGTTCTCTCCTACAGCGCAACTGTTTGGGTCCTCATCTTCTCACTCCTTGTATTGCAGCACTACTCTCTAAACTAGTCTCTCTGCCTCCAAGCTCACTTCCCTCCAGCCTCCACAGACCTGCCAAAGTGATCTAAAACATATTTGACCACATCACTCCCTTGCATGCAATCCTCAATAATGTCAAACCACAAAACATGAAGAAAGAAAGGTGAAGCTGCATTGATTTTGAAGGGGAGCTGCTGGCATGCAGCAGCCGTGACCACTAACTTCCTTTTTACCTTGCACTGCATCCTATGAGTCACATCTGAAAACTCAAGTCACACAGTTTGAAAATCACTGGCTTACAGTAGCAATTAATCTAAACTCCATCAGCATAGCCCCTGAAGTCATTTGATGATCTGATTTCCAAAAAGCTATACAAGATACTAGTTAAGATCTAAGCCAGACTCGAGTTCTTGACTGAGTTCTACAACCAACTGGATATGAAACTTGAGAAAATTATTAAAACTCTCTAAATTCCAGTTTACCTTTGATAAAATTAACAGTAATAGCACCCACTTTGTAAGTTATGTATAGATTACATGAAATAATGTATATACTTAAGCACAGTGCCTAATATATAGTAAGTATATCATTAAATACTAACCACTAGAATATTATTTCTTAATTGCCCACATCCTCCTTCACATATTACCCTCCAGTTTACTCAACACCACATCTTGTTTCAAGGCTCTTTCCTTTAGAAAGCTCTACACAAACCCTGAAATACCCTTTCCCACACTATCAGTCTGGCAAACTTCTAGTCATCCAATCTGACTATCCTTCCGAACAGTTATGCACTTCCTCCTCTACACTAAATCTATATACCTTGCACATTTTCCCCCTTATTGTCTGTATTAAATTATATTGTAATTACCTGTTTATATGCTTACCTTCCCCACTAGGCTGAAGTTTCTAATAGAGAAGGACCATATCTTATTTCTATCTTAATTCCTAAGGCCTAACCCAGTTCCTACCTGGAGCAATATCTCAGAAACTTTAATTGTGGGAGCTAATATTTATTGAGCATGAATATGTACCAGGCCCTGGGCCAAGAACTTTACATAAGTTCTTTCACTTATTTCAAGGAATGACTGAAATGTCAAAAACACAAATAATACTCTTGTCAGAGGTTTTCTTCAACAGACCTCAACTCAGCACTCTCCAATAGAAATACAATGTAAGTCACACATTAATTTTAAATTTTCTAGTAGCTACATTTCTTAAAAAGTTAAAAAAAAAAAAACAGGTGAAATTAATTTTAACCCAGTATATCCAAAATATTATCATTTCCACATGTAATCAATATAAAAAATATAACATATTTTACATTCTTTTTTATTACTAAGTTTTCAAAATGCAGTTTATATTTTATATACAGCACATCTCAACTGGGACTAGCACATTTCAGTTTTTATTAACAGCCACATGGAGCTGGTGGCTACACCATATTAGACAGCACAGTCTTAAATCAAGGAATCTTAGAGATGAAAAAGGCCTTAGAGACACAAGGAGAAAAAAAATGCCAAGAGTTTGAATGGCATTTTATACAGATCACCTTTAGTCAAAGGAGGGTACAAACTAGGATAAAGGACACTTAAGCAACATTCAGATGCCTAATGCTATTCTTCAATTAATTGGCATCCAATGTAATTCAATACATTTCTATCAGCTACCAACAATATATGTGACCCCAAACTTGGTGCTGAGAACAAATAAGACTCAATTTTCTGCCTTCAAAGATTTTACTGTTTTCTCAGATCCATGGAGAAGTCTCTAAAACAAATATCTAAAATGCATGGTCCAGGCCAGGCATGGTGGCTCACGCCTGTAATCCTAGCACTCTGAGAGGCCGAGGCGAGCAGATTGCTCAAGGTCAGGAGTTCGAAACCAGCCTGAGCAAGAGTGAGACCCTGTCTTTACTATAAATAGAAAGAAATTAATTGGCCAACTAATACATATAGAAAAAATGAGCCGGGCATGGTGGTGCATGCCTGTAGTCCCAGCTACTCTGGAGGCTGAGGCAGGAGGATCACTTGAGCCCAGGAGTTTGAGGTTGCTGTGAGCTAGGCTGACGCCACGGCACCCACTCTAGCCCGGGCAACAAAGTGAGACTCTGTCTCAAAAACAAACAAAAAAAGGTACATATAATATGTTACTATAACAAAGATAAGAGACATGCTTTCTATTACTATTATTATGCAGAAATAGCAAAAGTTATACCATTCCTTACTCTACCCTTCAGCTAGTATCAAAACTGGGGTCATAATTCAGTAAACTATATATTTGCTCCTTGCAGTTCAGAGCTCCTTTTAGAATTTTGAAATGATTATTTCTACTATCTTATCATAATAAATGACTGTTTTTATAGGAAGTAAGCAACAACCAGGTAAAACAGAGCTTTTCCATAGCTAAAATGTCTATTTAAATTAAACATGAGCTCCAAAAACATTTTTAGCTTACTATTCAAATTGCTTAGTTTGTAATAATCAACTACTTAGCCCAGAATTGATTAGGTGGCATATACTGAGATGCTCCACGAATAAATTTTTTGATGAAAACATCTGGAAAAATGTCCCATAATAGGTATTGAACATCTTCTGTTAATAATATTAATACCTCTGAGAGAGATGCATCAACCTTGGAGGGAATTTTCAGGTCTAGCCACGGCTGGTAGTTTTCAAGTAGCAAGGAAGGCCTAAAGAAAAGGGTCATACAATTAAATCACTTGAATCCAAAATGTAATTAGAAGGATCAACAAATAAAAATTATTTAACTTACCTATGTCGTTTACATTTCACTTTACCACAAACAGCACAGCTATGACCTTGAGGAAATAATTCTTGAAGTCCTAACTGCTAAAAAAGGAAAATAGGGGTGAGAGGAGATTTTTCTTACTTTACATCTTTACTAAAGAGAATCAACTCTTCAAAAGTTTTTTTAATCAATGTATGAATTCAGAAGACATTATTTGGCCTGCTTTAACAGTGAAACCATTCTTTGTAATAAATAATACTTGCTAGTGTCCCAATTAACAGATAAAAAATTCCTGATGAAATGCTTTACAATACCTAAGCCAAATTTCCAACCTTAAAGTTAAAATCAATTGTTATGATCACTTACAAAAAAAAAATCTATATTTAAAAGTGATATTCTACTGGAAAAGTATAAGGAAAAATTACTTTCTATTTCTCCAAAACCTTGAATTCAATGAGGAAGAAGATATGTAATAACTGGTAAAGTTCCTGACCAAACATGGCACACTACTTTCATTTGTATTTTCTCTGAGTAAAAATACCAACAAACCTGAGACATGGGAATGCATCAACTTAAAGAATTATCCAGTAAGAAGACTTCAAGATATCGCATTAAACCCTGATCTACAGACCAGAACCTTGCCTTATAGAGATAGATTCAATACACTACTACCTTTATTAAATTTCAGAAATACAAATTATTTGGTTATGCAAACTGCTTAATTATTTCTCTCTCTTTATTTTTAGCCAGTCACAGGGAGGCTGTATACCAACTTTAGTGACACTAATATTAATAAGTTCTGATAACCCACTACCATCGGACCAGTCACTGTTTTAACACATTTTCAATAATAAATATTAAATAGCATAGGGTCATATATATTGACTCTTAAAAATTAGAGCACATAATTTTACCTTGGGTTTGTATTTTATTGTGAAGAATATATTTGGTAAAAGAGAGTCAGGTCCAAAAGAGCAGTAGAATGTGACAACTCCAGCAACAAATGACCAGAAGATCATTAAAACATGAAGATACCTTAGAAATAAATTAAAATAATTATTAAAACCAAAAAAAATATAACTCATCTTTTCATTAATTTAACAAGTATTTACTAAGCACCTACCATATCAGTTGAAGCAATTATTCCAATCATAACTAATTTTCTGTAATGTATTTATTAAATATAAGAATCATAAATGTATGTTATCAAATGTATAATTCAGGAAGTATAAATTCTCAGTAATTCATAATTGGTACCTATGTGGTCATTTTTAACTACCCTATACCATAGTCTTCCAGAATACCTTCTAAGCATATTGTAGTATTTACACCCTACCATAATTGTGAGTATTTTTCATTAAATGAAAACAATTTTACTAAGTGCTTATGTGTATGCTAGACAGTGCTAGGCTCTGGAAGTAAAGTAGGGAAGAGCACTGCCATGGTCTCCACTTGCATGGAAAACACTGTCTAGTAACGATAACAGGTAAGTAATGAGCACAAGACAATGGGATTATGACAGAAAGTATGCATATGCATGACATGGGAACACGACAGGCCAATTACTGAACCCAAATTTGAAAGAACAGAAAAGGATTTTTCAGGAAAAGTGTTGTCTACAGAGAAACTTAATGCGTAAGTAGGGGTAAACAAACTAAAGAGGGTAGTGTAGAGGCATGGGGGCGCTGGGGAAAACACAGGGGAATTCAAACTTAAGAGAAACACATGGGCCAAGGCATAGTTCCAAGGAAGAAGTGGACCTGAGATGAATCTTAAAAAGCAAGCAGGCCAGGCGCAGTGGCTCACGCCTGTAATCCTAGCTCTCTGGGAGGCTGAGGCAGGCGGATTGCTCGAGGTCAGGAGTTCAAAACCAGCCTGAGCAAGAGCAAGACCCTGTCTCTACTATAAATAGAAAGAAATTAATTGGCCAACTAACATATATATAGAAAAAATTAGCCGGGCATGGTGGCGCATGCCTGTAGTCCCAGCTACTCTGGAGGCTGAGGCAGGAGGATCGCTTGAGCCCAGGAGTTTGAGGTTGCTGTGAGCTAGTCTGACGCCACAGCAACAAAGCGAGACTCTGTCTCAAAAAAAAAAAAAAAGAAAGCAGAAGCCAGATGATAGTGTCATATATAGGTCATGTTAAAGTGTCTTAACATAGGCAGTCCTCACATTGCAGTTCTGATATGCACGAATTTCAGACACCATGACTTTGTTAAATAACACTAGTCTCCCAGAACACAGTTCAAATTCCAATGTATATTCCACAGCATATTTATTAACTATGAGTTTCTGGATAAAGTATAAACTTTTGCTGCTAACTCTTCAGTCCACAAATCACTATATAAGTAACAGATATGTATCATGATCAGTGAGCAATCGCATCACTTCTGTCAGTGACTGGTCACTCAGTGCACACCAGTCTTCATTCAGTTCGTGCATAGACAGCAAAGTTAGGAGTTGTATTACTGCCTTGTCTCCCAGCAATAAATCCACATGACATTTTACAAAAGTAGATAATTTAAAGAAGAAATTGGCCCACAAACACTAAAGTACAACAAAGAAATGAACAGTGACAATGCTAGGAATGAAATTCAAATCAAATGTAAATGAAGTTACAGAAGAAATAGCTAACTGTGAGAATGACAATGTGGCTGTTTGAGAGACTCTAGATATGTAGCCAGAGGAACTTAGTGAAGGGAACTTATTAACATCAATGAGGAAAGTGGTTGTGACAGAAGGATAAAAATGTCCCAGAGGAAGTGACATCAGCAAAATCTCCACATTAAAGGAACTCTTACAGATTTCATGACATTAGATAAAACTCTGAAAGCTGATCCAAACTTAGGAGATGGCAATCACCTAGGCAAAGAAAATATACTCCATATCCTATGTTTTTGTTTTTTGAGACAGAGTCTCACTTTGTCGCCCAGGCTAGAGTGAGTGCCGTGGCGTCAGCCTAGCTCACAGCAACCTCAAACTCCTGGGCTCAAGTGATCCTCCTGCCTCAGCCTCCCAAGTAGCTGGGACTACAGGCATGCGCCACCATGCCCGGCTCATTTTTTCTATATATATTAGTTGGCCAATTAATTTCTTTCTATTTATAATAGAGACGGGATCTCGCTCTTGCTCAGGCTGGTTTCGAACTCCTGACCTGGAGCGATCCGCCCGCCTCAGCCTCCCAGAGAGCTAGGCATATCCTATGTTGTATGATAAAAAGATTACGATCACTTTGCAGTTCCTGCTTGCATTATCATTATTACAGCCCTACACTTCTAGACAAAGTGGGGACTGCCTGTATTATCTTATAAGAAAATGCATTGTAAAGAACTA